CGCCTCCGGCCGCTCCAGGTCGGCCTCCACCGACTCGTTCACCTCCCCGCCGGCCGCCTCGTCGGGCACCTCCACCTCCGCGGAGCCCTCCAAGTGGTTCATGGTGGGCGTCGGGGAAGGCTGTAGGAGAGGGGGCTGCGGCAGCCTCACTGCGCGCTCATGGCGCTCCGATGGGCTGGAAGAAGAAAAGAAACATCCACATAAACACACACACACAGAGAAAGGGGATATTGCTGCCGTGGAAGATAAAGATGGTTCTGTGCATTGTAATTTGCCATTGCATCTCTAATTAATTGCTTATTGCATCCTCCAGCCCCTTCCCCAGCCCCCCCCCCATGAAAGCCTGGTGAGCATTTTGTTTGTTTTTGGTCTGTCTCGGGGCCCAGGCGCTGTCCCTGAGCTCTTTTGCGCAAGGCTAGCGCTCTACCACTTTGGGCTACAGAACCACTTCTGGTGTTTAGGTGTTTGGAGATAAGACACTCACAGACTTTCCTGCCCCGGCTGGCTTTGAACCAGGATCCTCAGGTCTCAGCCTCCCAAGTAGCTAGGATTACAGGTGTGAGCCACCAGCGGCCCCCCCCCCTGCTTCCACACCCAAGTTCTGACCGCACTGGAACCCAACCAGGCACAACTGGACCCATCACACCACAGGACTCTCCCTGCACACCCAGGAACCGAACCTGTCCTCCTGCTGTATAGTCCAATGTCACCACCAGCCGTCCAAGGAATCATCACGTTCCCTCATCTCTTCCCCCAAACCGATGAGCAAGCCACTCTCTCACTGCCCTCCTTCATCTGGACCTATCTGGCCCACACAGCCATTACCCTCACTCATTTCTCTGCCTCTTCTGCCCCGTCTCCCCACTGCTAGCCTGAGGATCTTTCTGTAACACGAATCTGAACCATCACCAGGGTCTGTAGGCCTTCAATGAGTCCTCTTTTGTGCACAGAACAAATACTTGGCTTTGTATACTTAAAAAGCTTTGTATACTTCCTGAATACAAACACTTCGATGTATATACAGGTGCACTTTTAGACGTGTGCTGCATAACAACTGAGTCCTCACACTAGCCTGCTACACAATGCTGTCAGGACTTGCTGTTCTGCAAATGAGGAAGTAGAAGCACAGGGAGATTAGATCATTGTCAGGTCATACATTTGGAGTTGGATGCGGCTCTTTAGCTTTGGAGTCTGTTGACTCTAGACTTTTCCCTTCCGAAGCCCCAACAGCCTAAAGTCCTGGCATTGCCACAAAGGGCCTTCTCTGTTTGTAGGATACCTTTTACATGTGTGTGTTTGAGGGGCAAATGTTTGTCTTCCAGGAGTAAGTTCATATTTGATGATCATCTACAGGTGCCAGCCTCCAGGTCATGTCCTGGGTACTGGGACTGGCTCTCAAGAAACCCTCTTCTTAGCTGTTCAGGAGGCTGGGATCTGAGGGTAGAGGTTCAAAGCCATCCAGGGTAGCAAAGTCCATAAGACTCTTATTTCCAGTTAACCAGCAAAATACCACAAGTGGAGCTCTGACTCATGGTAGAGTGCTAGTCTTGAGTTTAAAAACAAAAAAACAAAACACCTCAAAGACAGTACCTAGGTTCTGTGTTCAAGCCATAGCACTAGCTAAAGAAAACAAAACCAGACCAAACAAGAGCTCCTCTCTTCTCAGGTACAAGAGACAGACAATAATTCCATAGGAAGTAAACATGATAACTGGACAAGGAACATTCTATCAAGGATATACACAGCAGGGCGGCAAAGAAAGTGACGGTGGAGAGGGTATTAAGACAACATTTGCCCAGAGCAGATAGTCGTTAGCTGATGTTTGAAAGGTAGAGAAAGAGGTTGAGGTGGAGAAAGTCCGAAATAAAGTCTGATTGCAGCTATGGAGTGACTATGGGAAATTATGGAAATGAGGATGGGGATATGGGCAGGGCTGGGCACCCCAAAGTTAAGTATGGACGTGTGTTTAAGCACTACTGGGTGTTTAAGGGGGGTGATAAGGCTTGAGTACTCCCTCCTTTTTCTCACCAGTGTACTCATTCATCTCCTCTCTCTCTCCTGTCATTCTCTGCTGCCCTCATCCATCCATGCAACCTCCTTCCTCTTCTGATGTCCAAAGGCTCACAGAAAGCTAGTGGCTCAACGTTCTTCTGCATCTGAGTGTGTTGAGACAATTGGCCTTTATTGGATATATACCATACTTCAGGACAAAAAGGGTTTCCAACGTTTCTAAATCCTAGCCTCCAAGGGAAGATCACTGAAATAGTTACAATACCTGGAGATAAATGCAAACTAGCGCTGGGCTCAAGATACAGAAGAAACCCAGAATGAAAGCAATGACAACAGTGGTATCACCTTGTGAATCCAATTACATACTGCCGTTCCTGTGGGCTGTGGATTTCATGAGCCCAGCAGCATCCTGGGAGCTCAGGCCCTGGAGTGAAGTCTCACCATTTACTCACGTCCTTCATATGACCCAATTGCCTCTGGAGGCTGGAAAAATGGGATGAGGAACAATTCGTTGAAGACAAACCCCTCCCTCTCTATCTGAAAAGTCTCCATGCAAGAGTCCCCTCCTCAGGGACACAGCATGAAGCGGGAGAGGAGAGTGTGTTTGGGGGGTAGGGGTGGGGGTGCTGTCAGACTAAGATCCTCCAGAATGCCAGAACATTCTGGAATGTTCCACAGCCTGGCTGGAAAAATTGAACAAAAGGAGGGAATACCGGCACCTGGCACCATTTAGACTAAAGCATTTCAGGATTCAGCCATTGCACCCAGGTATCTCAGAATGTTAGCTGAGTTTCATATTAATTTGAGATTGATCGAAGGGGAAGCTGTGAATCACTTCCCCTGATCTTTAGTTGTTGATGAGAATTTCCAATAGGCTGTCCCCTTTCAGCACACTTGGAAACAGTTTTATAAGAAACATTGGACTGAAGGCAAAGTAGAATGTAAAAAGGAACGAAAGGAGTTATAGAATTGTTAACACAGAGAGTATCTGTGTGCACAGTCCTGGGTTGTCAGGGCTAGGTGTTAGTAATGCGGATGTAAAGAAAATACATGAAGATGGGGGAGAGGGGTAGAGAAGTGGGAAGAAAGGACTAATAGCAGCCAGGTGCTGGTGGCTCACACCTATAATCCTAGCTACTCAGGAGGCTGAGATCTGAGAATCATGGTTCAAAGCCAGCCCAGGCAGGAAAGTCCATGAGACTCTGATCTCCAATAAACCATCAGAAAACTGGAAGTGGCGCTGTAGCTCAAGTGGTAGAGCACTCGCCTTGAGCTGAAGAGCTGGGACAGTGCCCAGGCCCACAGTTCAAGTCCCACAACCGACCAAAATAAAAAAAAATAAGAAAAGACTAATAGCCATTTTCTCCCCTATAAAAGCTAAAATAATATAATTCCATTTATATAAATTTTTAATATTTTGTATATTTAAGCCTTCATATCTGTGTTGTATATTTGCAGTGGTAGACTGCCTGCTGGCCTGAACTTCTGCCCAGCCCCATAGCTACACTTGACTTAGAGCACCTGTCCAGCACTGATGGGTGGGTCTGGGCCCTTCTCAACAAGCCTTGGTAGACTCTATACTCTCACAATCACCTGTATAGTCTGAAAAGAACTGCTTGTCTTTCTCCAGTGGAGTTGGAAGTGAAGTCCCAATTCTTAGGACTGCAGCTGTTCTTCTCACTTGTCCATGCACTGCACCAGTAGCCACAGGAGAGCAGCCTATGACTCTGAGACTATGATGAAATCTTCATGTTCATAGAAATAAACAGTTGCGGTTGCTAAGCAAGATTATGCCCTGAATGCAACACACACACACACACACACACACACACACACACACACACACACACACACACAGGAAGATTAGTGGTTCTCTGACCTCCCCCCGCACCCCCCCCAAAAAAAGATTTTTTTCACCTGGTGCCAGTGGCTCAGATCTGTAATCTTAGCTACTCAACCAGCCTGGGTAAAAAAGCCAGTGAGACTCTTTTATCTCCAATTAATTAGCAAAAAAAAAAAAAAAAGCCAGAAGTGGAGCAGTAGCTCAAGTGGTCGAGCCTCTAGCCTTGAGCAAAGAAAGCTCAGAGCAGCAACCAGGCCCTGAGTTCAAACCCCAGGACTGGCACACACACACACACACACAAAGGTTTTTTTTTTTTCTTATATGAGTTACATCATTACATCAATTGTGAAATATCCACTAAGGAGTCCACATGATATCAAGAACACCCACTTAAATCCTCACCCTTTTAAATATAATGCTTTTCTTTATGAGAGTCACATAAAAGACAGACATGAAGATGACTAGAATTCATTTAAGCTTAATTTCCTTTGATTCACTTGGGAATTACATTTAGTAGTAATAATGGGAGTCAACAATGGACAAAACACATTACTTTCTAAAATCGGTTCCAGTTACATAGCTCAGATGGTCAGGAAAAATCTGACACAGGAAACAAATATTTTTGGTTCCCTCTGATATCCTTGTACCTGAAATTGTGAAACATGGTCTAGAAGGCAGTACTGGCAATAGGACTCTGCGGAAGGTGAACGTCTAAACTCAAGAAGAGTTCCTAAATGATACATCTGCTTCAGTGGGATCTCGTGGTCACTCTTGTCTAGCTTAGATGAGAGCACATGGCTGCACATGCTCAGTTTCCCCTCCAGATCCATTCTATGCTCTCTTTCTGCTCTGTGTCTACAAGACTGGACTCTTTCCATCAACAGCTATTGGATTCCCTGGCATCTGTTTGAATTTGGGCCCTGGGGAGATTGCAGAGCAGGAAGGGTCTGAGGCTGCTATGGAGGGCACAGGTGCATGACATCACATGATAACCCCCTCCACTTTCTTCAGGCTTGTGGGTCATAAGGATGGGGTGTCCCATAGAGACCTTACCTTTGTATAGTCCCTGTTAAACGCATTGCCTGTCTGCACAACACTTGATTTGAATGCTCATCTATTACTTACTGGAACTAAACTGATTGCTAGGATATGATACTAACATTAATAGAAGGTGAAAAATAAACAATGCATTTCATGACAGATGTAAAACCCTACATAGTACAGCTACAGCAAGCATCATGACAGTGGC